TCTCTCTGTCTCTCTGTCTCTCTGTCTCTCTGTCTCTCTGTCTCTCTGTCTCTCTGTCTCTCTGTCTCTCTGTCTCTCTGTCTCTCTGTCTCTCTCTGTCTCTCTGTCTCTCTGTCTCTCTGTCTCTGTGTGTCTCTCTGTCTCTGTGTGTCTCTCTCTGTCTCTCTGTCTCTCTGTGTCTCTGTCTCTCTGTGTCTCTGTGTCTCTGTGTCTCTGTGTCTCTGTCTCTCTCTGTCTCTCTGTCTCTCTGTCTCTCTCTGTCTCTCTCTGTCTCTCTCTGTCTCTCTCTGTCTCTCTCTGTGTCTCTGTCTCTCTCTGTGTCTCTGTCTCTCTCTGTCTCTCTCTGTGTCTCTCCGTCTCTCACTGTCTCTGTGTCTCTCCGTCTCTCACTGTATCTGTCTCTCTCTGTCTCCGTGTCTCTCTGTCTCTCACTGTCTCTGTGTCTCTCCGTCTCTCTCTGTGTCTCTCTCCGTGTCTCTCTCTCCGTGTCTCTCTCTCCGTGTCTCTGTCTCTCCCCATCTGTTTCATCCATCCATTCGTTTTCTAAATTGCTTCTTGTAGAACCGAGGGACAGGGGAACCCAGAGCCTATCCTGGTAAACAACAGGCACAAGGACAATATACACCCTGGATGGGATGCCAGTCCATTACAGGGCAGACACAGACACAAACATTCACACACTCACACCAGAGCCACTTTTTACAGAAACCAATTGACCTAACAGTATGTCTGTGGACTGTGGGAGGAAACCCTCAAGAACACAGGGAGAACATACAAACTCCACACAGACAGCACCGCAGGAACTGAACCCAGGGCTCCAGTCACGCGAGGTAGCAATGCTAACCACTGTGCCACCACTCCACCCACCTTGTTTTACACACCTTATTATATTCATTTCCAGAAATAACTACAAGTTGACAGGGACAGTGACCATAAATATTCTTAACCACCATTGGAAAGCAACGGTGTAACTTGTACAGATCTACTGAAACTGTTAAAGTGCTGAATTAAATCCATTCATCCTTTTAGCACTGGAGCTTTGTGCCTGGGCGAAATCCAAACTGATTCCCCACCACCCCCATCAAGGTCCAGTCCAGGAGGAAGTGCCCGATGGCAGGTACCCATCAGGCAGTGGAGAATCCTTCGGGAAGCCAAAAGCCATTAAGGAAAGCCAGCCCCTTGGGGCAACCTTGTTGTGAAAGGCGCTATATAAAAATAATTTGAATTGAATTGAATGCTTGTTCAGGTGGTGGGTTGAAAATTTAATTCCGACTCCCACTTGAACTCTGACTGGGCTGTTGGCTCAGCATTAGTTTCAGAAGGAATTCCTTTCTTTTATCCCAAATTTTATTTTGATCTTCAAAAGAAATCAGGAGCAAGGTTGGTATTTCTAGATCTAAAGGAAGTGAGGAGAATTTAATGGCTGCTACCCATGTGGGGGCTAGAAAAACTACCCATCACCTTGCTTTTCAGGAGAACAGATAAAGGAGCCATCATGTTGTAGTGTTAGCCTGACCAGGACTTATAAATCTGCAGAATCTTGTTGAAATCATGCAGATGAAATACTGTACATTATATTATTGGTTTAAATCTTTTTTTGTATTTTGCGCCAAAGTTGACCAAAATATGGCAGAGTTTAAAGTACTTCTGCACTAACACAGGCATTTACTGTATAAGACAGCTGCTAATTGTAAAACCTGGAATGGAATTAACTGGTATGCAATGGGAATTGTACGTTTCCCTAATTCTCCGCAGTGTTCCAAGTGTATAAAAAGCACATTGTGGTGCCTTACAGTCTGATGATGCCTTTGTAAAAATCCCTTTGAATACGAAATGTCTGAAATCTATTTTTGAACAAAGGCGGGGCAGTATTAATCCCAAAGTCTCTGAGGAGAGAATTCCAGAGAAAGGGAGCAATTTGAAATCAAGACACACCATGCAGTAGCCTATACACTGGATGCTTTGATTTCAGGTTGTGATTTAAATAGCTCCCTCATGGGTTTCAGTCTTTCAGAATTTGACTCGCACAACCAGGAAGATAGTTCTTTCTTTCATAACTGTTGCAATCTCATGATTTCTGACCATAAAACTTTAAGCAGTGCAGATGAAGTGAGGATTACAGAGAACAATGTAGCTGTGTATATCAAACAGAGAGTAACAAAAACATACATAAATTAATGTAATAATAAAAGAAATGGCTTTTTACAGCCAGAACAGATAAACCCGGTATGTGCAAGTGGTGACTGTAAAACACCTGGTACAATGGTGCTTTAAGTACCCACTATGTACAGTACCTCTCCACAGCTACAGATTCCCCTGCTCCAGGATAGGAATCATTTCAGTTCAAATCACGTTCCAAAGCCCTACATCAACCCCCCTTTGACCCAATCACTTGGATCAAAGATTTCCCAGGTAGACAGAATAAGAACAGCCGAGACTGGATAACATCATTAAGGGAAGAGAGCTCTGAAAAGGTGCACTTAAAGGCAGAGCAGTTCTGTCGCACACTGAACATCCATTTTCACAAATCGATTAATTACTGTAAGTCATCTAGATTTCTTGGGTTGTAGAGGGAGGAAGGAGCGTTTCACAAGCAGAAGGCAGACATTTCTAAAAACAATATGTAGCTGTGCAAGGCAGGAAAAAATATAACACAGGATATTTTGGACATTTTATAATTCTAATTGCTATATTTAATTTATTTTGTGCCAATAGTAGCACCAGGCGGCTCGTCATACCAGCATAAGTGGTGCAAGTATGGTGATACATTTCTTTTTATGAATGCTGATCTATAGTCAGCATATTGGCCTCTGCTTGCTAAGAATCTTTAGTATGATGACAGCTATATTGTATTGTGGTTATTATTTGGTTCACAGGGCTGTGAAATGCATGCATCCAATATGAAAAATCATTTTGCACTTCTTGTAGGAGAAGGATGGTTTTGACTTTGAACTTGGATCAAAAAGCTCCTGGATCAATAAACCTACTGCAAAACAGGATGTGTCAGACAGGTCAAATGACATACTGTATTTAAACCTGCATCTCCAAGAATGCAAATAAATGCCTCTTTATTGATTCCAGTTTAAGTATTTTATGGTTTGACAAACCAACTCTCACTTTTTCAGCATGAATTACAAAACTCTGCCCGATAATTTTTATTATCCTGCCCATTTCTCAGAGCCAGTCAGGAACTATTGAACAGCTCCTGTTTAAACTGTTGAAAAAAAAACATGCTCGTTATGTTTTGAAATCCCACAGCACCATATCTGGTATTATCCACTTGAACTGTGAAATTGAAATTGTGTTAAATCCTGAAGGCAAAATAACTGAAGAATTTCCAATTGCTAATTGAGTACTGACTTACAAAGGCACATTAACATTGAAAACAATTCCAATCCCTATTAGCAAGAAGGGAATGGCCATGTAAGAGCAAAGAAACTTGAAATGAGATCACTGTGCAGCAAATTCACCATTACTGTACGAGACCTGGATTTAATTTGTATGGATCAATGGAGCAAACAGATGACACTGTCATTACAGCCTCTAAAATTAAAATCAGGAGACTCTGGGTCTTTTTTTATGACAGTCTGTCAATAAATGAAAATGACATGTCTGGAACAGCATTTGAATTAAGAGGAAGATGATTAGTTGTACTGTAGATGTCAACCAAAAGAGTGAATTTGGAGGAAACTCACATTTATATTTCATTTGATCATGGTGTCCTGACAGGGACAGGGACAGGGACAGGGACAGGGACAGGGACAGGGACAGGGACAGGGACAGGGACAGGGACAGGGACAGGGACTTAGCATTTGGGTTTATTTTATTAGAAATCTGAATCACATTATCAAGAATGAGGGGTTTTAAACATCACGCCTCATTAGGACACTCATAAGCATATTTTAGGACGAAACATTTTTTTAGTTTTCCCCTGCTTAACATAAAGAAATTAACTTCTAAATTAAAAATTTCATTCATATTTCATTGCTTAATTAAATTATACATGAATTACTGTGCAGTGGAAATAAGTAAAACTGATCAGTCCTTTCATGGAGCAGACCATTTGAACAGCCAATAGGTACTGTACAGCACAACTGAGTTGATCTTGTAACTAGTGTTAGTGAATATTAAGATAAACAGCAACTTTAAATACATTTACCAGCCAAAAGAAATGCATACATTAACTATTTATTTTTGTATTTCATACAAAGATTACTGTGTAATTATGCCGTGCATAGAAATTAGGGAACAAGGATCACTTATACCACCTTTCATCAGTTTAAGGGCAACTTTAAAAAACACTGGTCTCTGTCCAGTGGTCCCAACAGTCACAGGATTTAGACTTAAGGTTAAAGGCGAGGACAGATTTAAGGTCAGTTAAAAGCAGCCATACTGTTTGCAGTATGTAGTACCAGCAAAAATGACCCCATGACCCTGATCAGTAACCCACCCAGTATCTTATCAGGAGGCAGGGCAATGCCAGATGGTACTTACCGGGACAGGCCTGTTTCCCAGGAAGTTGAGGTCTGCGTTTTCTCCAAACAGATAGCCCTCGGGGTGCGTGGAGTCAAACTTCTCTCCACCCATGATGAAGTGGCTGGCAAAGTAGCTGCCTGTGGAGGACAGGGCCACCTGTGAATATGGTGCTGCTACGAGCCAGATCACACCCCCTTCATGACAGGTACCCACAATAACCAAACACGTTAATTCTGGCACAAGTTTTACAAATGTGGGCTTACTGGCCATCGTCTTTTTGTCTCATACACCTAGAGCCAAGGGCTTGAAGACTCAGCTCTCCTGCAATGACTGGCATACCCAGGGAGAAAGCATTTCGGAAAACTCCTATGACTTGCATGCTTGACAAAGTTGTCCATATTTTGCTCCACAATGCCACTCAGGAGAGTTTGCCCTGACTGAAGAAGTGGTTATTCACTATGTCACTGCAGGCCTCTAGACGCCTGGCAAGTCAGTGTTGTACTAAAAGCCAAGAGGACACTGCATGACTATCTTATTCTGCCAATTGAGCTTGACTTTTGGACAGATCCAGTTTACAATTGGCTAGTGACAGGGCCTATGAATTCTGTACTTTAACCATGGTGTATCCATAGTTTTTACCTTGTTTTCCCATGCACTACTGCACTATACATCCATTCATTTAACATTCTAACTGCTTCTTCCAATCTGAGGTGGCAGGGGATCCAGAGTCTACCCTGGCAAGCAACCAGTGCAAGGCAGGATACACCCTGGACAAGACCCCAGTAATACATGACTCATCTAACTAAAAACTCACAAAGGACACCAATGAATAAATGCCTTATCTATTTACTTAGATAGTTCCTTTCATCCCACAGGATTCTCTACTGCTTCATGAGTAGAGAAGGATTTGCTTCATCTATCACTGAATCAGAGCAGCTCAATAGACATCAGATAAGGATGGCTTTACACAGTCCATGTTAACATTGACTGCAGCACATTTAGTCTTCAGTGTTTATCTTAAAATGACATAAAGCACATTAAGCAGCCAAAGCCTATTCACTAGATCCAAATTAACCACTGTCCTCAGTGTATACGATTGTTTTGTATCATTAACCACCAAAATTGTTTTTAAATAATAGTAGTTGTGATTATTGCACCCTACTGTAAATGCATTGCTGTAGTGCTAAAAAATATTGCCAGGATATCTCATTCTACAAGTAGTGAAGTCAGACTGAAAGTTAAATGGATGAAACACTAGCACTGCTTTAAGTATGCGTTATTTATAATGCAGTATTGAGAATCTTCAGACACCAGATTTGTTAACTAAATCTTAAAACATAGTAGTACATAGTAGTAGAAAATGAGTAAACAAGATGCATAGATCCTACAGGTGATGCAGCTGTAATTTTAAAATATACAGCTGTCTAGTGGAGTATGCTGCTTTTTTCCAGCTGTTAATCCATTCTTTTCTCACTACATCACTTTCCTGGTCATTGCTTGTCTGCCTCCAAGCATGTACTGTTCCCCATGTCGGCAACACTGCAATCCATCTTGATGCCTGCCTGTCACCAGCTATCACCTTCCCTTAGCCAGAGCAAAGCAGCGACACAGCTCTGCACTGGGACTGTCACTGCAGAGATCAGCTCTCAGTGCACTCAGGCAAGACAACAGCCAGGTCCACCTGCTCCAACCCAAAGAGCAGGAGCGGAGCAAGGCAGTCCTCCAACACTGCGCCAAAGCCTGACTTCAGACCGGGCATAGCCAGACAGGGAATTCACTCTGCCTCCCAGCACAGTTTGTCCCAGATGGGGTACAAAATTTACCAGCAGACAGATCCCTCCTCAAGCCATGAGTCTCAGCAGGGATTCTCGGAGTTCCCCACCAACAGCAAGTGGAAGAACATGACAACAGCAACATGCAATATTTGAACATCATCACGCACAATGCATTCATTCTGACCACACATTTCTAGTTTGCAAGTTTTCTAGTTCAGTTTGTTTGCTCTCCCTCAGGTCATTTTATGGGTGATAATAATTTGCTTTTATAACAATTTAGTAACATTTCAGCCCAAGTGAAACTGAACCTTTCCCTTTTCTTTGAGACTCTGCCTTACTGCCCAATAAACAGCTAAGAACATAAAAGTCAGATAAACAACAAGGGCTACATGCACCCTCATTTGGCAGCTAGTCATTGAGCTGAGGATCTCATCCAGCTTATTTTCTTGATAGAACCAAGTCTTTAATAACACTTGTTCCATCCTCCCATAACATTTGTGTAGAGACATATCACAAGTCCACCTATCCAAGAGGAGAGCTTTCCACATCAGGTAGCTAGGCCTTCACTTTCCCACACTACACATCCATTCTCTGCCCAGTTCATTCAATTCGGATTGTTGTGAGGAAGCCGAAGCCTATCCCAACAAGCCTATCCCACACAAACATGCAAACACAAGTTTGGAATTAATCCCAGGGCTCCAGCACTGCAAGGCAGCAATACTAAGCAATGCTAAACACTGCACCACTGTGCCATCTTTTACTGCACTCATGAAGTTCAAAAGTCAGCATCCTAATGGAACAAAACAAAGTAGTGAATACATTATATTGATCAATCTTGTCATTCATTTAATGTGTAAAGAACTATTAATGTGTAAGTGAAACTCACAGAAATCATTGAAAAGTGCGATGCAAGGATATGGATCACTGGTCATTCAGTTCAGGCTAGTCACAGCCTATGAAATCTGTTTGCATTTGAAACTGAAATAAGACCTTAACTGAAAATAGAAAAAGCATTCATGAAGAATTCTACTGGCCTTGTATGAGCACTTTATGTTAATAGTCAGCCTAAGAGTTTCTCAGGAGGGCATTTAAAAGCACATGGAAAGTGTAATGAATGTGGGAATGAACAAACTGCGATTTGAAAACCGTTCCATCGTTGTTTGCTTAAGCTGTAAAGTCAACAACCAACATTCAAAAAAAAATAAAACAACACTGAATGAACAGATATGTCCAGTATGTGTTTTTCCAATAACAGTAAAAGAAAAAGTTTTGCATTTTTAAAATCTGCATCACGTAAGAAAATGCCGACCAGAACTTTCATGTAAGGTATCATTTATTTTCAGTTTCATTGCATACAACTGTCATCTACTAGAATTATTTAAAGGGCTTCTCTTAAAAAATGGTCAAGTTTGCAATTATATGAGCCAAGACAAACTTGATTGAAAAGCACAAAACTGTGAGTGTAGAGTGAGCAAATACTGAAACTCACAGAGCTCAACTCTGAAAACATGGCTGGCATTAAACAAAGTTTAATTCATAGGTTTTCTTGGTTGATTCTGGAAACAGGTATTTAATCAAATTATCGTGCAGGGTACAGTACAGGCAGTGACAATGTGGTGTAACGTGTCTGAAAAGACGTGTACTCTGTATGTTATGCAAAGTGAAGCCTTTTATTACCTTGCTACAAAATAACAGCAACCAAATCATAAAATCAGCCTTACAGTCCACCCAAAATGAAAACTGGACAATTATCACCAGGAGGTTTATCAATAAAGTAATAAAACACAAACAACTTCTAGAAAGTAATCCATTATCAAGGTAATGTTACAGGTGCCTTTCATTGACACTGAACACAAATTGTTGTAAACTGGTATTTAAAAGATGGCAAAGGAAATCACACAAATAGCTTAGCATCCTCTCTTAAAATGTATACACTACCGTATTAATTCCTCCATCCATTCCTTTTCTAACCATTTTATCCAATACAGGGTGGCAAGGGAGTCAGAGCCTATCCTGAGAAGCAAAGGGCACAAGGCAGACTACACCCTGGACGGGATACCTGTCCATCGCAGGCCACACACACTCACACCAGGGCCAATCATCTCAGACTCCAGTTAACCTACTTGTATGTGTTTGGACTGTTGGAGGACACCAGAGCACCTGAAGGAAACCCATGCAAACAAGACAACATACAAACACCACATAGATACCACCCCAGGAACTGAATCCAGGGCGACAACAATGTGAGGCAGAAAGGCTAACCAATACACCAGTGTCCTGCAATTGTTTAAGGTGTATATATATATATGTTTTCCCCTTATTTTGATTAAATTTCCACGGAGTGGACTAGCAGTAAATATTAAATGAAAAGTAAACGGAGATCTACCTCAGCACGATTTACCCAACATTGCACAGATATTTAAACCTGAAATGGGTCAAATTGTCCAGCAAACAGAGATATTGCAGTACTCTACGGTTTTAACTAGCTAACCAAAAAACAGCAGCGCTTATTGGTGCTAAAGGACCGGAGCTTATGGAGGTGACCATCTGTACCGTTGTAAGCAATGGTAATTGACTATCCTCTGAAAATTACTGCGCTAACTAAAATATATTCACCAATATATGACGTAATCACTACGGCAATATTTAACACTTCCATACAGCTCCGGAGTTTTCCTATCAGCAGATCTGAACTCATAAGCCAAACCGACACGGTAACAAACATAACCACCTCGAAGGAATGAGCTCTGGCGATCCTGTGATCAAACAAATCATGTCAAGAATATCAGAAACGTCTATTTTCTTTGAGAAGTTCGTTTGCAATTTGGAAAGGTAGTACGGTGTTCGCTCTGTACATTTTCAGGCCGAAAATAAGAAACTGCATCTGACAATAACAACTACGAAAAAGAGATACCAATGTTACAAGCTTGTTGTCAACCTTTTCGTAACATCAAACTGAGAAATTAACAAATTAGCGAATCCCCCCGTTAGGCTAAACGCCATGCTATCATTTTAAGAAATATATAAATTATACAGGTCTTTCAAACCATCGTAACGATGCAAAATAACAGAAAGGCTAAATGAATCATTTTTATTTACTTAGGTTTCTAGGGCAAAAAGCTAGTTGCCGTAACCTTTGTACTAAAGTGGCTGGCTAATTTGGGAGATGAAGAGATTCTCAGTGTGTTGCAGTTACGGTCAGGGTGAGCGACACGGGAAAAGAGCCTAATCAAGTAATTAGAAATGCGCTATGTAATTCATTAAGATATAGAATTAACTATTATATCCACAAGAGGGTTACTAAACACAAAGGGTAACTGAAAGAGAACTCAAGACGGATTAACTGTGAAATCCATCATTACCAAGAAATAAATAACATTATTTTAATATCAAAAGCAAGGTAAAGATTAATACTTTGCTTATTGCAATTCTTGGTATTTTTTTTCCCAGTTATTGTTATTGCTCAGTGAAACCAGCCGCACTAACATAGAAAACATGTGATTTACATGATAACCGTTTAAAATCATTTCACTACCATCGGTGACTACCATCTAAAAACAGGCGTCCTTTATCCTCGTCGCTTTGTCACATCTCGTGTGAGCTCCAGCGGCGCATCGTCAAGGACTTACCGGATTTCGGCGGATATCTGTAGACAGAATTAGAAGGGATGTCGACCTCTTCCACTCCAGCATTTTGCCTGCTCGTCAACGCTCCCATTTCCAGTCAAACGAAATAAAATCCAGCTACCATTCACAACTATTAATCCCCGTCCCGCCTTCCCACCGCGATTTATTACTCTTTTTTCATTAGGAAATTTCACGTCGTCATCTCCCCTCGTCTGTCTGTGTTTCTTTTTATTTCTCCAGAAGATCCACGAACCGCTTTCTCCTGGCTGAATTCTACCTGCAAACGTTTTAATGCAGGGTACCTAACATTTCCTTTAAACTCTTATTATCCCTTGTGTTCTGTGGAAGCGGTCTGCTCTTAAATGCAGCACACAAGGCCTTGGTTCAAAGGAAAGCAAACCGCTAGGTTGTAGCAACTAGGAGCGATTCCAGCATCCTGCAGCCTCCTCTTTCCTCCACAGCTGTGATAAGTGTGCCGGGATCTCTCCGTACTCCACTTCCAACCTTAGACTGTCAAAGGACGGGTCTAATGGCTACCTCTGACGTCAAGCATCACTCCAGTAAACGGCGAGACTCCAGACTCCAGATTTGCGCTGCGTAATCCAGCTCCATGTTTCCAAACGTGACCCTCGGACTATTTTACTGCAGTGCAGGATTACAGTATGTTCTTCCAAGGGTAAAGCAGAACCGAATACGGGCAGTGACGCTGCCGCTCCAGGTTTGAAGGGGACTCATGGGCAGGCAGATGCCGGAAAAAGAGAAGGCAGTTTTTTATGTTGTACGTGGTTTAAATGATGTTCTAAACATCATTTTGGGACAAAACAAACCTGGAGTTAAAAAACACAAATTTCGTTTTCTTTTTTCGGTCATTTATTTCCACCCTGCAGTTTTACCTACTCTGAAAATGTGTTAAAAAGATAGGTGTTAAAATAATGTTGAGAAAATGAGTTTTAAAGTGTTAGTGTTATAACGTGTTAAATGTTTACCTCATTACAGTATCTTATTGTTTCACGGCATATTTAAGGTGCGCCACTGGTAAGCACTGCTGGTATTTCCCAATGTTGTCTGTTTACACAGATACGTAAACAAGGAGCAAGTCAAACACGGGAGGGGGGGGGGATTAAATATTTATTGTTTTGTTTCTTAAACCTTTTGAAGACAATTATGTTATTACTACATTACTAAATTCCACAGGAAGAAAGTGAAGTCTTCGTCTTGCAGCTCCTCCAATGTGTTTCACTTGGCATTCCTGCTTCCCAGTACTGGGGCTCTCATTTTGCTCAGTATCATTCTTGGGGGTCTGCTATCTCTTAATTGGGGCTCCCCAACCTGCAGCCATTCTGGTCCTTTCTGTATAAGTACCATGATACAACCAGCTCTTGAAGTTGTAAAGGAGCTGGTTTGCAGTGGGACGGCTTGGAATCACCACCATGTTGGGGTGTGATGTGGTTTGCAATCACTTTGGGAGGAAATCTGTCCTCTGGAGCTAAGAGCTGGGACTTGCTTGAGTGAGGCCTGCTGAAGTCCTAATTTCACACGCTTTTTTGCAGCATTTTTTGATACAGAAAATCCATCCTGAAACAGCCATCCATTTTCTAACCACTTCAATTAAGGTTCAGGGGGGAGCCGGGGCATGTCTTGGCAAGCAATGGGTGTAAGCAGGGTACACCCTGGAGTGTACCCCAGGCCACAGCAGGATACAGGCAGACAAACACACACCCTCTTATGGCAGGATGAATTGTGCCCTCCACCTTGAAGCAAGGAATGAAATTTTTATGTTCAAGGTAGATGGCAATACTATAAAATGAAATAGACCCAATACTGTTTGCATCAAGCCAATATTAGAACATTAGATCAATTAGCCTTTTAATTTGATCCATGGAAAAACATTTGAAGAAAAGGGATGAGGTTTTATCCCACACTCTTACTTTCTGTTTACATCTTACTTACTCCTTAATGCAGGGGTTTCTAGTTCTGGTCCTGGAGGTCTACACATCTGCTGTTTTTTGTTCCGGCAAAGCCACCAGTGACACTTAATTGACTTAATAATAGGATTAAATTGAACTGTTTGACTGCTTTTAGCTCTTAAAATTGTTGGAGGTTGCATTTCAACTATTGCATTTCATTTCATAGGTAACAGAATATCCCAACCTTTGGAGTTAAAAAAACGTATATACTTAAACTTATATAAAACTTAAATATTCCACTTAAGCCACTTGTTAATGAAGGCTTCAGCTTGGTGATTAAACTCAGCGGTAATAAAAACCAGCAGGTGTGCGGTCAGCCAGGGGCAGGACTAGGAGGCCCTGTTTTAATGCATCTTGGCTGTTATAAGTTTTAAAGTCGTGGGCTACATTTTAAATTGTCTCACACTCATGTTTTGGATACCCGAAAAAGTTTAAATTGACTTAAGTTAACACAATCCCCTTTACTGTAGTAGACAAATGTGTTATTATACTGTTTCAGGCACAGCTAAAATGTCAATGTTGAAAACGATCAAGACTACAGCTGTTTATGTTAATATACTTAAGTATATTAGAGGAAAACCATCATAGGATAAATTCAAAATACCTAGTCTATCATTTACACTGTTGGCAAACGTTATGAGGATGTCTTATCTTAATAAAACAACAAAACATGAAGCTGTCCATCTGCAGCCCTTCCAGATCATTCCATTGCAGAATGGTGTTACAGACAGCCTTCTAATTATTTTAATTTACTATTAGTAGACTCAAGATCACAAAAAAGATGCTGGCTCTATCAATTTACTGTAATGGAGAGGACTGGAGGGCTGCAAGTTCAGTAGCCCTAGGCCGTTCTGTTTTTTCAAGCATTGAAATTGTCTTGCTCTCATTTTAATAAAAACTTTACTCTATGAAACAATCTAAACAAACATGGTGTGTCTTTATGTGTATTACAACCTGAAACAAAGGAGCACTCTTTCCTGCAGCGTTGGTGTTCAGTCACCATTCGTGTGAAACATTTTCAGTTAAGGCCCTCTAGTGTCCAACAGAAAAAGTTACAACATTATTGTGTAGGCAGTCCACCCATCAGTTTTCTAACCACTTCTTCCAAATCAGGGTCACATGGGAGTTGGAGCCTATCCTAGCAAGCAATAAGCAGGATACACCCTGGATAGGATACCAGTCTATTTCAGGGCACACACAGATACGAACAACCAAACATTCCCACCACAGTCAGTTTTCGCAAAAGCAAATTAATCTGCCAGTAGGTCTTTGGGCTGTGGGAGGAAACTGGAGCACCCAGAGGACACCCAAATGAACACAGGGAGAACATGCATACTCCACACTGATAGCAGGTCCCCGGATCTGGATTGGACCCAGGGCCCCACCAACCACGGTGCCACAGTGTCGCCTATTTAGCCTGATGTATTTACTGATTCACGTTCCACCTAGAATACTTCCTTAATACAGTTACTTTCCTGCATTTATTTAAAGACATTTTTCAAAGATTTGTTTTGTATTTTGTAATTGACATCTTTAAATGTTATTGAGCGATGACGCGAGTTCTTTAGAACTTGTGAGAGCCCGAAGTAAAGTATTAAGTTAATTCAGTTAATTAATTAGATTAATTATGTGGCTGATATCTTGGCTTGGGCAGATGCCAGAAGATACTATGGCCTAGACTATGGATACATTGTTTACACTTGCACACCAACATGTTAAAACATAAGAAAAGCTGAGAAGAGACCATTTGGACAATATAGCTAATAGATGGACTAAATAAGGTCCCAGGATGTCCCGAATTAAGACTACCCCACTCAAATAATTATACTATAAGTGGCAGGCATGGCTGCGTTGAGCAGGGGAAGACACATTTCCACCATGTTCCCTGAAGAGAACAATCCCCAGATCTTACTCCTATTGAAAACTGGTGGAGCGGATGAAATGTGGAGTTCCGTCCCACACACCATTAGATTCATCGCAGTGAAGGCAATCCCACTAGACAACTGCAAGGGGATTAGGCTGCAAAGACTGCAAAAAAATGTGGATTTAATGTCAGATGTGACCTGAAAGTCAGTTCAAACTGCTCCTGCTGCTTTCACGGGCCTGTCACTTTATTCAGTGCAGTCAGTATAATTCCTCCTCTACTGCAATTCTGGTGTGCAGGTGATGTAAGACTTTGTATTTCTGTAACAGATCACGAGCATTGTTATGCCTCTTTCTTTTGTATGGCCTTTTGTGATCCGCACAATAGATTGATGTCCAGAGATTCTTGCCACTAGGTCACTTACAGTCTAAGATTAATAACTGTTGAAAGACCTCCTTGGAGAGAGTGAAAAGAGTATTCAAGGATTATATTATCCATTATCCACAGCTTTCCTCACTCGCAGAAGGGGGTCTGCCCACATGCACCACTGATGAAGCAGGCTGAAATATTGTCCCTGACTGATACAGAGTCACTCATTGAATCTAGTGGATCATCTATCTGTTGATGAGGGAGGGGATGAGACTACTCTTTTAATGGTGAGAGTTTCAATAAGGTATAGTCTTCGCCTGGCATTCCAAACACTGAAATTGTATGCCTGAGATTTTATTTGGCATGACTATAAGTGAAAGCAAAATTATCCAGCCATTTAATTGCTTAACCGCTTTAACCATACTAGGTCAGAGGCATCAGAGCCTATCCCAGCAAGCAACAGGTGATAGGCAGGACACACCCTGCACAGGACACCAGTCCATCACAGAGCACACACAAGCGCACATTTTACGGAAGCCAATTGTCTCACCAGTGTGTCTTTGGACTGTGGGAGGAAACTGGAGCACGCGAAGGAAACTCACAGGAAAAAGGGAAGAACATACAAACACCACGCAGATAGCACCTCAGGAACTGAACCCAGGGCCCCAGAACTGTGAAGCAGGAATGCTAACCACTAGACCCTGAGAGCACGTATAAGACCTTTGATTTTATTCCAGTAACGAGCTGGGCCTAAATTAATGCACAATTTTTACGCATCCAGCAGGTGATGGATTGCTGCTCGGCCTTTTGGCTAAGATCAAGTGTGATATCAAGCATTTGAAGGCCTCTTCAGTTAAGCCAGAAGATGTTCGTGCCTACACGCAACAGTATCTGATAGCCCTGATTTACATGTGTATTACCCAAGCTGTCGTTTACATATTGCATCTCTTTATTCGTTTTTATTTAACTGCATAAATATAACAATTCTGACAGGGTTTCAAGGATTTTTGGAGTTACTTTGCAACAATGCCGACTATAAACAAGGTGGTCCAAAATACTTGAAAGATGCTCTGTTGATCCTGTCAAGAACACCATTGTTCCAACCCCCCCACCCCAAAAAAGTGTTCTTGTGTATTTAACAAAAATGTCGGGAGGACTCTAATGGATTTTAGTTAATCCAATCTTGAAAACATTTACACAGCAGAATTCACAACTGAGATCTGTAGTGTAGGGTGCCGGTGTCACACAGGGCTCACATGTTAAAATAATACACAAACGTTTAACACCAGCGTTTAGTCCCTAGGACTAAAATTCCTCATCTGAAATTTTATGGGTTACGGTGACACATTTCGGTATTTATTAACAAAATCCTCGTGTGATGGCGCTAGCAAGCTATCAAGAGAAGCTATAATTAAGGGATATCCCACTTTATTATAACTGTAAATAACGTCGTACCACTACCCGTTAATGCAGGATATATTTTAAGTAAAAGCGAAAAAAAGGGAAATAAACCTAACTAAGGGAAGGCGTCGCCTTACTATCGAGCGGAAAAAGCGAGCCCTAGACACAAATCCCTCATTACCTGAATGGACATTTGAGTGGCGTAACGAACATTTAAATGTCGATCAATGGCCAATCGGAGAGAAGCACTAACGTCGACAGAATGAGGATTATCCAATTCCAACAATGAGTTTACAAAACAAAAAATACCTGCCAATCCCAAATTTTTAGAAAACCCGGCCAATGAACTCCGCCGGCTGAGTACCTTCCCGCGAAAACGACCAATGGAAGTGAGTCTTCAACAAACTCACTCTCTCTCCCTCTCTCTCTACCCCCGTGGCCAATCAGACGTCACATGTCCCTGAACATTACTGAATCGTAGTTATCGGTAGCCAATAACATCGCAAAGTGTGTGTGCTCCCGTTCCCAGCCGTCCAATCAGCGCGCAGGACTGGCCGTGTTGTTGGTTGTGACGCTGAAAAATATTTTTGTTGCTGCTGTTCAGGCGAGAAGCGGAGTGGCAGGGAGGATCGCGGTGGGGAAGAATACCAGTGCATTTGTTTTGTTTGCAGTTTTTTTTTAACTGGCCTTTTTCTACGCGTTTTTGTTGTTTTTGTTTTCGTTCTTCGAAGTGTAAGTTGCGATGTCGGTGAATATGGACGAGCTGAGGCACCAGGTGATGATAAACCAGTTTGTTTTGACCGCTGGTTGCGCCGCCGACCAGGCTAAACAGCTCCTCCAGGCAGCTCACTGGCAGTTCGAGGTGTGTGTGGTCGGACCGCACGGTAATGGGGAGAGGGCTGGGGCGGGAGGGCGCTACACCGGCAGCTACACCGGTTTTTACCTTACAAAGCATGAAAGTTGTGTCGTTGACATTAGTTGTGGGCTAATGTATGCCCGGAAGAGGCGAGGTTTGTGGTGTGGGGGGGGCTGCTTCTGCTTCTGCTTCTGCTTCTGCTTCTGCTTCTGCTTCTGCTTCTGATCGGCATTTGTTTTTATTTTCAACACGTTACCTTCGTGTTAAAAATATACCGTATACTCTGATTTTGGTGCAGTGTGTGTGTGTGTCTTACTCACGCTGCTTGAACGTACGGCGATTTCAAGATTTCCCCTTGAAATAGCCAGCGAGTTTAAGCCTCGACCAAGCCACCCCAAACGGGACTTTGATGTGACCCATTGGCGATCTACCTGTTCGGGAAAGCTCAAGGCAATTCAAATCAACCGCCTTTGAAATATTAAAGAAATAAAGATGTTTCGTTTTGGCTGTTCCTGGCATATTGCAACACCGCGATCGATCATTTCCTTGTTTACATGCCTCTGAGTGATTAGCAGTTAGGAAGCACGCCGTGGCTGGTTTTACGAGAGAGGAAGGGGACGGCAGATGTAGTTTCCCTTTTTTAAGGGTACTGGTATTTGTTTATCATAGTCGCCTCCCTCTAACAATAGATGGTAGTTCTGTTGTTGATATTAAACAGTGCTTTCGTTTCTTCAGACGGCGACCGCACCTCAGGAAGGCGGCTGTAAGAACACTTTTCGGTCGCTAATAACGTGTCTTAAAATGATCAGTTGATCGAGCAAGTCCCGACTTGGCTTGCAGAGCAGCAGCGATTCCCACACAGGCATCTAAGATGTTCTGGAGAGACAAGCCCGTTGGAAATAAAAGACCCAAGTGAACTGGGACTCCCTCTCAATCCCCTGAAAGTAATGGAAATAAAAAGAAACTGGAAAAGGGTGGGTTTTGAAAGAGGCGGAAGGACCGATTCGCGACGCTCTGGATATCAGGAATTGTAGTACGTTTATTTTTAGTGTGCCCTTGATCCCACACATTCGTGGACGGTAGTGCAGTACAGCGGTAGCTTGTAAGCTATTCATTTCAAGCCAACAACAGAAGTCTTGTTCGTACACTTGCATACCCACGTACGAAATCTTCCCGAGCTCGGTCCATGCTATAAATACCATCATCGCAGTTAGTGTCTTGGAGAAACGATTCTTTCTGGAAGTCTTTTAAAGGTTATTTGTATGGACCGAAATTATACTACAATCCTAGCGTGATTTTCGAAGCATTTCACGGTGGTTCTTGCAGGTGAATGAAATAGGAACATCTAAGGCTGTGTGGTTATCACTGGGATCGGGCAGTTTGTCGATAGGTGGTTTGTCCAGGAGCGCCTCGTTTTGTTTACATACTTCATGACAGAATTTGAACACCTGATTCCTGAAAAAAAAAACGAGCTGCAACAATAACTGGTAGGGCCTGTTGGGTGTGTAGGAAACGGTACTCACCATGACTGGTAAAAGCTGTTGCCACTAGTAAACAAGAGTGACACTACTTCTTAAATTTCATAACAAATGTACTAGCTGTGTCACTGTAAAAAGCTGAAAATATTGGTTTCACAGCACATATATAGCCCTTATTCAAAAAAGGAGTCTATCATACAGAGTTTTGGATTAACAAATTGAAGTAGTCCCCAAAAATTTGTAGGTTCAGCAGTTTAATGCAGTTGGCCCAAATAAATCGGTAGTTTTGCAACAATGAAGCAATACGTGTGAATCATACCAGTTATAGTTGGATAGGTGATTAAGAAAGTGCATTGTTGAGGCTTTTAGTGAAATATTATAACCTAATATTTATGAGATAAATCTTCTATTAAACAGCTGGCCTGGTCTGTTTGGTGATTGTGTAATTCTCAAGCTAGTAGGAGTTACCATTTAAGAGTCTTAAGTTGCTGTTGTCTATTTGTTTCCACACAGCAATGAAGAGGAGCCATCACCCTTCTGTCACAATTCCTTCATCAGGCCCTAATACTTTCCTGCCTGTTTAAGTGATAGGTTTTTGTTTTGATCAGAGTAGATTGCCTTATAATTAAAGCTTGCTAGCAAAAATTAAATTAACAAAAGTGAGTCAAGTAGAGAACTGTACAATGTAAAATCTTAGAGTTGTGCAGTAAAAAAAAAAAACTTCACTGAGATGTCAAATATGTCTTGTGTCAGATATGCCTCAGTGAAAATAGAGATGCAGTAAGTGAGAAACCATAGAAACACAATATGCCAGTGAGATGTCTGATAAAGGACGTTTCACCCTCTAGTGCCCTTTGTATACAGCATTTACGTTGATTTTTAAAGAAAGATAACACTTGGAAATGTCTTGTGCTGGGTTATGTAGGGTTTTACGCCATAATAAAGGTGCTGTAAATAGTTTAGTGAATTACAGTGATGGGGTTTCTAAGGATGTGTGAGACTGGCTCTTTATTATCAGAGGGAGGGCTAGAATACGATAAATGCAGAGAACAGAGGTTTCTTGTGTAACAGATCTGCCTCCCTGTCTTTGTTTGAGTGTCTCGATGTGTTGTAGAGCATGTTTCCACTATAATTCACCCTGTGGTCTCGGCAGTATCAGTTGTGAATTACAGTTGGGGGGGGGGTTTCGTGCGCCTTGTCACTATGCAAATGTCAGCCCGAGCATGAGCTCTCAGATTCCCTTTGTTTATTTCAAGAGGTCGCCTGAAACCTGTCAGCTCCCCAGAGCTCTGCTCTTGAAGGGGTATTTCCGTCTCGCCATGGGGACAGTCAGCGAGCAGTTGAACGCGCTCCTCTCCGCTCTTTCACACCGTTTCTCGCCGAGGAGAGGTGTAGCTTTTAAAGCTTGCTGCGCCACCATTTAGAGGAGCCCCTTTCCCGAGAGATCAGCCTGGAATGGCAAGCGGTCCCCTCGGAGGGTGTCTTCTGCCTTCGAGCAAGGTCGGAGGGCAGGGGCCGGGGGGCCGGGGGGCGCAGCGAGCATCTCGCGGCACTAACCCAGCCACGGCCGGAAGAATGCGAGACGCTATATTTAGGCCTGGGCAAGTAAGAGCAAACCTGCTAAAGACACACTATCCTCCAGCTGTTCCACCTCACATTCCAAGCCCCGGTTTTATTGGTTTTGTTTTGAAGAGGGCTGCAGCCGTGTGGGACATGTTGTGGCGGTCAGGTGACCGGTGTCCGGCGCAGGACCAGGACAGCAATGTCCAGAGTGTAAGAGAAGGCAGGTGTGTCCATTTCAGAGATGGATTTGACTGCCGAAATGTTGTTTCTTTACATGTTTATTTACCTTATTTTAGTACAAATCTTCCACAGGGTAAGAACACACAATAATAAAACCTTCAGCTGCAGTACCTTCCCAAATCATTGCACGAAGAAGCTTGCGACATCACACACATTGTAATCTGAAGAGAGGAAGCTGTAGAGGAAAGGGGTATCTATTGGAGGCAAAAACAAGCTATTCTTTCCCATGAATGTGTTTAGGAGTTAAATTTGTCTCTATCTTGTATTTCCTTATTAACTGTCAGGGATTGAGCTAAACTAATGGTTTGCTGATCTTGGCTATTTTTAAATTGTGCTAGGATTTTGTGGTTAGGCTGAAGATCCCAGCGATCAGGAACTTAAACAATGAGCTATATGTTATAATTTCAAGATAAGATAAATTAACTAAGTGAGTTCAGAATAACAACCTGAAGAGTGTTGTTACAGAAGCTTTATAATTTTGTGAAGACATAACCTAATTTTCACTGTAAAACGATTCTCTCATTGTTTCCAAAGGTTTCTTTAAAATGCATGATGTCAGTAGGTGTCACTTAAAACACTGAGTCTTAGTAAAATGTTAACTTCAACATCAGATCTGCTAATTCAGCTGGTTTCAATGTACACACTGTTTAATTATATCGAAAGTGTCAAGAACACATCATTGTGCATTTGGTATTAGATTGATATAAGGATGGGAGACTATAGTCAGCTACATTTATTTTCCATTACATTTGTGGCAGTTGCCATCATTTATTGTCAGTCTGATTATTTTAACACTGAAGGGAACTTTGCACCTCTTGGCTTTCACTACGGTATACCGATAAACCCATAATGGGTGAGGTTGCAAGGATGTGGAAGCCCAACAAAAATGAAAGACAACGCCCAGCAGAAATGTGGGCAGTGCCCTTTCGTTGCAAGAAAAGGACAGTAAAGATTTAAGCTCAGTCCTAAACCACTCCTAGGATTTCTATTGTGATGGAGTTTATTGGAAGCGTACCCTGTTTCCATGTCTGATTAGGAAGATTTAGAAAACCATGCCACAGGGGATTAAGCAGTCTGTACATGCTTTGTGAGGAAAAATACCCCCTTTTTATCTTCCTGCTGGAAGACTTTGTAACAGGGAAACAGTGTTATCTAAGCAGTGACCACTTTATCCTTCCAGGTGTTTTGTTAGGTCCTTGAATCATGGCATCTTGCGCAGGCCTCTTGTTTGAGTGAGCAGAACTTGCGTTCAAACTATATCGTATCCCCAGTTTTAGGCCCCGGTGATTTTGAGAAGTTCAAGCTAACCTGGACCGTGGCAGTGGGCTGACTGGGAAGTGAAGCTGCCGGTACACATTTGTGAGGAAGTTTGTTTTAATGAAGATCTCCCCATGTGTGAGACCTGGAGCTCAGGACCAGGTGGTTCTCGTGGAGCAACAGTCTTCTGGTGGTCAGTATAGAGCAGATACCACTGTGTCGATACCAACACAGAGTACCTCTGTGGTACTTATTTATTGAAGGTCCCCTTTTTTGGATTCCTGCATGTCAGAGGTTGGACAGGAAATCCGGTGCTAATTCTGAGTGAATGCCAGGATGCAGGGCTCTCTCTATCTCCTCATTTAGAGCCTAAGCACAAATATGAACACGGGTGATCTGAGAACATTTTGTCTTGTCAGAAAGCATTTAGAAAAAAAAGTATATTGAGACCATTAGCGTATCCTACCTGCTGTCAGGGTGCACAAGTCCTTTCTCCCCTCCCTTTCCTTTTCTTCTCAAGCTTTAAATGGTTTCTTACCTATATCAGGATTTTCAACTCAGCCCACTGTAAGCCTCAGTCTTTTTCCATCTGAGCAATGTGTCTAATGTCTGTATTAATGTTTCTCTGCAGGCCTTAGACTATGTACCATGTAGTGCATCTTTTCAATTGTGAAATGCAAAATACTTTGGAAGAAAGCTTTTTAGTACATTTCCAAATGAGCAAGAAGACATAGCCAGAAGTATTCATTTAGGAGTTCTGGATTTTAACTGAAGGCTTGCTTCTGAATTCTAGTGAAATCTGAAAAGTACGCCCAGGGACAGAAGTCTGTACATTAATAATAGCACGCACAGTTGTCTGGTTCATGTGTAAGACTGAGACTGATGGCAGTAAACCCACTTTCTACTTGGAACACAATGTAATATTTATCACTTTGATTTTTCATTTTCAAAGCTGCATTTTACATTTTTCCCACTTCTCAGTACTTTAATGAGCTTGTGTTTAAGTTGAGAGTCTTCAGTTGTAACAGTTGATATATAATCCTGGTGAAAAGGCACATAAAAAACTGTTTCTATGTTTGTTTTATTTTTTTAGTGCAATATAGTATTTGTGGTTGTGTTGTAGAATAAAAGTGGACTGTAATGGAGAAAAGCCTCCAAAGGATTTATTTTGTTTTTGACCTATTTTTAAAGACCCTATCCAATTTATTACATTTTTTTTGTAGTGGTGTGAGCACAGATTTGGTATATGCCAACCTTAATGGAGTGGAATCAGGTTTTCTTTGTAAATACATTCAGTCTGTTAAAAGTGCATAGAAGTATGATTACTAGAAGAGGCTGAAATGTTAAATGTACTAAAAGCACTTTAAAGATAAATCTCTAGGGCCTGATGTTATCCTACGAGATGTACCTAAGAAAACAAGGCCTTTAACAAACTTCTTCCAACAGTCACTCAAATGAAGGGTAGTAAAAATAGCTTTTGTAGCTGTAGAAAAGATTATGCAAAAAAACAAACCTGTAGATAAGTCTTACAAAGGAATAAGTGAAGGTTTATTCCATGCTGAAAAGAGAAGAAACACAACTTGTCCACTGTGGAGCCTTCTCCAGGTGTGTATGTGAGATAAGTCTTACATCCATTAAATGCAGTGATATGGAAATGTTAATTAATTGCACCTGAGCTAGATGATAGATAATACTTTATTAATCCCGTAGGGAAATTGATGTGTTACAGCAGTCCAGCCCAAGACAAGCAAAACAGACATCAGAATAGTTATAAAACAAAAGACAAACAAAATAAATAAATACATACATACATACATAGGTGTGTGATCAGTATGATCAGTATGGCATCAAGATTCTGGGAAATAGTCAACATTCGTTTAGAAATGGCAGATCTTACAAAGTTTCCTTTGTCCAAAAGATTCTTAATATTGTGTCTTTTATACACAAGTACTAAAAGATCCTTTTATGGTGTGTTTTATATAAACTAAATCATGGGAAAAAACTTTTTAAAAGTATTTACTTGTGCTTAACGTTTTCAGATTGAGGTCACTCAGAAATTGGTTGGTGTTTTAAGATTTTTATAACTAAAGGACAATGCAGAATGGTGGCTAAACCACTAGAGCTTTTTGTACCGATCTTGTCACTACTTTCAGACAGAGAGTAGTCAGCTGTTCTTTGTGATTAAATGTTTTTTTTATTTCTGTGAATAAAACCTGATTTTTCCCTGAGTACATGCCAAAAAATTCTTCTGAATTACTAAATTATTTCTGCGTGTATACAAAAAAAACACTTTCATTTCAGAAACCCCTACTGATACCATAGACCAAGAGTAAAAACTAGAAGACCTAGTAGCCCTCAAGCTACCCTATTGATATCTTTCCAGATTTGTGTCCAATCTGACAAATTTAGATTTGAAAATACAGGTTTGATGGGCAGTTTCCAACTCAGGAGAAAATAACCAGGAAACTGGCAGTGATATGTTGTCCTTATATACAAAATAGAGTGAAGAGGATTAGTAGGTTAATGCTGATCCTAGTACCTATAGTTTACAGGATGTTCTTCAGCATCAAACAGATGATCACCTTCCTAGGACTATAAATGCCAGCTCCACTGCCCTGCCAATTATAGTACTCTAGTTAAAGGTGTTGTGCCTGCTGCAGTAATGAAAGACTGAAATGACTGAGATGGTGGAGGAAATTAAATACTAACTGCAGAAGAGCCTTACTGTGGGATTGAATTTCCACATAGCAGTGTAAAATAGTTGATTACTAAAAAGATGCACATACTGTATGCTTAATGCACAACATGTTTTTTTTTTTTAAGTGTAAAAAAATTGTCACTGGGGAAAAAAGGCCTGTTGAAGTCATTGGTACGTTTTAAACCTTGTTTGCCATTCTTTTCTCATTGAGATATGGCACATAATATAGAGCAGGATTTGCCAACTCTGGTCCAGTGAAGTTTCATTGGTCATCTATAACTAGCGCTTTCCCAGGACTAAAGTGTTCAGCAGTCACTGTGAATAAGGATCTTGGACTGCAGTCTTTAAGGAGGAGTGTCTGCCAGTTCTCTCTGCTGATGCTAAATTGATCATGACAATAGACGCTGATGAGTGTAGGTTACCTCTGTTGGGGGGGAAAACACAGCCAGTGGCTTTTATGAAACCCGATATTGATTAATAAAAACAAACTTGTGATCTGAATAAAATGAATCAGAGCATGTTGCACAATGCTCAGTTGCTCCTTGGATAGGAAAAGAGAGAGATCTGGGCACATCCAGCAGATCTCTCTTTCTCACAGCGCACTCTTATGTGCAGCACAGACAGGCCACAGTTGCAAGCCAGTTGCATCATTCTTCGAAAGGGGCACAACTACGCAATTGCCATAGGCACTGTCCCATGTGTGTACTGTTTGTTCAGTCTAAAAATAAGTTCCCATCATTTACCCTTCGTTTGAGACAGAACATACTTAGGTTTGTCAGCACAACATATTTTTGTGTTCATTTCCAAACAAGCAGAAAATCAGTGTGGTGTTTTTTGAAGCCTGTCCCTATGGCAGATGTTTAATAGAAACAATGTAGCCCCTGCGAACAACATATTTGACAAAGCAGGAGTAAATCCATGCTGGGGTGTGAGAGTAGCATCAGGCTTTACTGACGGGAATGTTTCTACTTCTCCTGATGCACTTGAGTGGCTTTGTTGTTAGGAACCTCTGTGATTGAAGACAGAGGTAAAAACGATTGTCTGGTGCTGTGATCCAGTGTGTGGGTGTCACAGGAAATGTAATTTCTTCTTGTAACCAGCAGTTAACATGCAGGACCATGTGTTCCTCTTTGATAAGGAGGAGGCTGTCGCGCAGGGAGGATGTAAGCCAGGCAGCCCTAGGGACAGAGACAATACATCCCAGAAGAGCAGTTGATATGTGTGTCACGTTTGTGAAGCAGGCAGTCCCAGTGTCCTTTGCTGCGGTGCTGCTTTGTTGACAAACAGTAGAGGAAAGTGTTGATATTTGCAGAGACCTGTGCAACTTGCCTTTAAAAAAAAATCTTTCTAAATTTATACTTGTCCATCCCTCTACAGCAAATAAAATTGATTTCTGAAGAAACAGTGTATTAGGTCTATTTTCGTTATTCTTCAAATGTCTTAGAGGTGCTCATGGTGTACCGATTTAGATGTGTAAAGCACAGCACGGTGTTGAAAAGTAAAAGTAGCCTCCTGGCTTTTTATTGATCATATTTTTCCCTTGATAATGAAATGCCGTGGTTTCCGAGCTGCGTGGATCTGTAGCTGAAGAAAGAGTTGAAGAAATCAAGAGCTACTTTAAAAGCAACTTGCTAGAAATGCAGCAGGAAAGACATTTTCTGTTGCACGCTCCTTCCAGTTTACTTTTGAGGTACAGTCCTTTTCACAGTCTAGACATTTTATTGGGGCTGTGCACAACATTTCTGAGGTAACAAAACCTTAGCTCATTTACATATTTTGGTATGTAAAGGATTCCTAAGCTGTCTGCTGCTTTTTAATGCAAATTATCCTCTCTTTTATTTAGACGGCACTAAGCTCCTTTTTCCAAGAAGCTAATGTTCCCAGTCACCACCCTCAGATGGTAAGTTAATTTTATCGCTGCTCTCTTAAAAAAAAAACTGTTATCCCTCATCGCCTCCTGTGATGACTTTTAATCTCGCAGTTCATTTGGAAGCATTTTTAATAGCCTAACAGAACACAAGGAAGAAAGGAGAAAGAAACTAACACAATGCTCGAACTGTGTTAGTGTTCTGTCACGGCACTGAAATTAAATCTGGCCCAAAGTTCATTTATATGTGGTGCTCTGGAAAGTAAGGGGGGAAAAACGTTCAGGTGCTTTTCCAGTCTTCCTTGCATTATAACTAATACCTGTTTCTTAATGACCAAAGGTTACGTGCACTTACAGATTTTTCTATCAGTGCACGTACCTTGACCTGTCAATAGTCTGTGCATTTACAGATATTTGTTAAGAATTAGATACATTATTTTTGCTTTAAAATAGGCTTACTAAGCAGTAGTGCAAAATGTTTTTTTTACAGACATTCTTCACATGTTCAGCATAAATTCGTCATAAAGCAGTACATCCATGCCTGCAGCAACGTTCACCCAGGATGGCCGAGTGGATTAACACTTGGCAATTAGAAATTTGGGAGGAGAGGGGTTATTGTAAAAATAATCAAAGAAGCTCTTTGTAGTCCACATGCGTGTCGTGTTTCTTGGGTTGTGTGGAGGCTCCTGTCCCATAGAGTTTGACCTTGGTCTGCTGTGCTTGTTGAAGAGACCTGAATGGAGTGGCTCTATTTTGAGTGAACGTTGTTAATGGGTATCTGCATGAGACTGCATGTGGAAGAGATTTTTCTTTCCCTGCTTGTTTTTTTTCTTGAACTCAGAAGGCACAGCCCAGAGTGCCTGGGTTTGTCTGTGTATATGTGCTTTGATGGGTATTTGTTTTTCTGTTTGTTTCTTTCTTAAGAGCAAAGCAAGGTCCCCAAGTTCATAGTTGGGACTTGAATTGTTGTGGAAATGATATGGATTTCAAACTGCTCCTGGAAATTTGTCAAACATTAAGTAGGATTTGACTGTTTTTAATTATTTTAAACAGTCAAATTTAATTTACTGTTTGTTCCTTTGCAGTGTACCACCTGACATATCACCCCACTTTAACTTCAGGAATACTTCCAAATGTGTGACAAATGAGTATTGGAACCAATGGGATTTGTTGTGATATAAGTATATTAAATATGTATTTGTCAAAATAATGGTATTTTAAAACATAGCTGCCAGCATCCTAAAAGTGTCCCTCTTCCTCTCAGCCCACAGCAACTTCCTGCTGTGGTTAGATTTGTAGGGATTTAGCTGTGCCACTTTGAAGAAAGTTCTGTTATTCCAGCTCTGGAAGTGGACAGCTGCTTGAAATGTTTAGTCATTTCCAAGAAGCAAATCTTGCAGTCTAATTGATCTTCCAGTCAAATCAAAGCCAAAATTATGACCAGGAATGAAGAGTTTCAGAAATGGTCACATTCACTAGTGAGCAAGTTTCTATTGTGAATTGTCTGCTTTTATTTGTAATCTTAGTGCTCTCATTATGTTATGGATTATTGTATATCATATTATTGTCTGTGACCACAGGATTTAACCCAATGTATATATTAAATGAGTGTTTCTTTAGTTTTCCTTGTTAAAAACCAAAACATTTTTCATCATTTCATAAATTATACGAATATGAAAATATTTGGAACTATTTTCTGAATTGGTAAAATGATGAAATGTCCTCTCATCTGTAAATCTAACACTTAAAGCAGTCCAAACAGTCTTCTAGCTGTATGGTCACACAACAACACTCTTGGAAAATCTTGTCCCTCACCCCTAGCAGAAGGATATACTGGTTATGTTACAACACACTGTTCCAAACAAAACCCAAAAAAACAAATAGGTGAACACCAAAACGCAGTGCTTAAGAAAACTGAAAAGCACAAAGGCTGATTTATTCAAAAAAGGAGTCTACATAAAGTTGCAGCTGGGTAATACCGAGCACAGGGACTGAGAGGACAATAGAGTTTTTAACAGCGAGAGTCTTTGCTGAGAGGAAACATTGAAAAAGTTGGCAGCCGGATGTACACATGAGTGTGCGTGTGTGTGCAGGTTAGTGCAAGCCTGGTTTGTTTTTGTTTTGGGTGCAGCCATTACATCATACCACTGGAGGGAGCTTGAGGGGGGCAGGGCAGTGGAAGAATGTGTCTGCTGCCAGCTTTCCCCTGTG